AGTCTAGTAGATCTAGATCTCTATATGGTCCAATTGCTGAGGTTTTTTTTTTGTGAACGTAATTCTACTTGTTTATTTGACATGATGAATGTATTCCACTTAGAACTGGAAGCAATCAATCAGCCTTGTTAATTACTGGCGCTAGAGTAAGCTTTCAATGTTCAACAAATGGCTAAATTATTTGCATCCCCCCCCCCCAACACATACATTTTGCACAGAGAATGCATGCACTGAAATCCTTAATTCAGATACAACGTGGCTTTTCCTTGCCCCCACGGGTGTCTTACCGTGGCAGGTGTGACCACCGCGCCTCACCCCAGGCACTAATAATTTCCCAATGTTAAAAAATAAAATACTTAAAAAAACTTTTTAAAAAACCACGTTTTTCTTGTGGACTAAAAAGTAGAAAATAACTATTTACATACATTTGATGACAAAAACGTGGGTACGTTCACAATCAAATTTCCCGACCCATCTGCCCGACCCACGTTTTTTGTCATCAAATGTATGTAAATAGTTATTTTCTACTTTTTAGTCCACAAGAAAAACGTGGTTTTTTAAAAAGTTTTTTTAAGTATTTTATTTTCTCCTTTTTAGTCCGTTGCTACACATGAAAAACGTGGTTTTTAAAAAAGTTTTTTATATAGTTCATTTTCTACTTTATCTAATGACTTGATTAAGTATGAATTGACTAAGTGTTTATAAATACACGGACTAAAAATATTGAGCGACCAGGATTCGAACCTGGGTTGTCGCGGCCACAACGCGAAGTACTAACCACTATACGATCACGGCCAGCGCGCTCACAGCGATTGGGGCCGAAGTAACTGTTTCAATAGGCCTCCAGTCTTGTCGGTATCTTTAGAAATCATGTCCTCAAATTTATGGTCCTTGGGGCGTAATTAAATTAAGCTAATTACGGTCTCTAATTGCTAGTTTTTATGATTGCATCTGAAATTGTTAGGCGAAAGTAGCGTGTATACCAAATTTCAGATCTCTGGAGCAATCAGAAGTGGGCTAATTTTCGATGTCAATTTTAAAAACAAACAAACAAATCCACAAATCCACAAACGCGAAGCTGAGTTAGGGTTTACCAGCTGCTTGAAAGATTTTCATCAGGTTGGACAATAAAATTTTTTACTAGGATAATTCTTTAAAAAAACCCTTAAATAGCCCGGTAAACGGAAAAAAAGTCACAGGAAAAAAAAAACACAGAAAAAAAAGTCACAGTTTTTTGCTAGGAAAAAAAGTCACAGAAAAAAAAGTCACAGTGGAAAAATTTTATCGGAAAAAAAGTCACAGAAATAAAGTCACAGAAAAAAAGTCACAAAAATCTTTTAAGAAATATTTTTATTAATTTGTTAAGAATTGTAATTTGTAATGTTTATTGTTGTGGGTTGTATTTTTTTGATAGCATAAATTATTTATAGACGCTAAAAGCATTATGATTTATAACAATTGTAAGTAAAATTACTCTAAGATGATTAACACAACAATCTCAACATTTGTTATGTATTTAGTTAAATACGCGGTTGAAAAGTTAATTATAAAAGAAATTTAGGCACATTTTGCCGTAGGCTATTCTCTGGTCGGCCTCTCCTCAGTAGGCATTGTCCGAACATATTTTTGTGTTGTTGACGTTATGCGTCAATGACAGCCTTTGAACCTTGTCGGCTTTCTGTTTTGATCCTAAGTTTTGTTATGTAATGAGCGTGATAAATGTGGGCAGTAAAGGTGGTTGAACTAATCATAACTTTTGTTGCCATGAGTTGAGGGCAGCAAGTCAGATGAACTTACCATTTCACGGTAATTTAATATTGGTATTTAAAAAAAAACAAGATGAAAAACGTGGACTTTGGAGCATTCTATTAAATGCTACTAATCTTAAGTTTAAAATAATTACAATCTACATACTTCATAATAAATATTTTTAGATGAATTATAAAAATTTCTATGCGTATACAGCCTAGACACATTACATCACATTTCATTAATCCTAAGTTAATTTGCACTCTCTAAATATTTAATACATAAAAGTATTAACAAATATCATGCAAATAGCAAATATATATTTGTGACTTTTTTTCCTGTGACTTTTATTCCTGTGACTTTTTTTCCTGTGACTTTTTTTTCTGTGTTTTTTTTTTCCTGTGTTTTTTTTTTCCTGTGACTTTTTTTCCTACAATCAAATAGCCCCACCCTTTCCCAATTGAATTGCACAAAGTCCATTTTTCGTGTTCCTTAAATAAAGAATGCTAATGGGAATATCCTACATTTAAAAAAAATGTTATTAACTAAACATTTTAATAGATAGTTATAGAATTATATTGTAAGTTATTTAATTAGATTAACAGTGTTAAGAAATGGCTATGGGTTCATTGGATGTAAACAATTTTTAAAACTGACAAAAAGCAATTGGAAATTTTGTTTAAAATCATAAACCAAATGTCTTTGAATGCAAGTTAAAATAAACGACTTACATAGTCCTTTGAATAAGAAT